TACTTCTCAAATAATAATTCAAATAACACATAGTGGTCTAACGCCCACTGCATTATCACGTCGATTAACTTGACTATTATCTAATAATAGTTCAATTAAATGACATTTCACTAACCATTGCAAAAATTACAATAGGCCAAACCAAATCCTTACGGGTAACTCAAAAGTGTTACCATATAAATTGTAAAACAGTTACAAATATTAGAAGTATTAAGTATGTAAACAAACTATCCGACTTTAATAAAATGTTATCAAACATATTTTCATGAAAGATTTTAATTTCATGAAAAAAATAGCATGAACTTTCACGTGAAGAAGCAATATTTGAAAATGATGACATAACACAAAAAAATGAAATCTCTTTGCTAATGGCTTATGAAACCTGAATATAATAAGATGTTGGAAAATTCATTTTTAAATATGTACTATAATCAAGGAAGATGGTCCGAAGTAAATAAAACATAAATAAAAAATCTTTAAGAAAGAAATTTAATTGGTTTTTAACGAAATTTGTATAAATGAAAAAAATAAAACAGAAAAAAAAAAAAAAAAAAAAAACAAATAACAAAAAACTGCTGCCCAAATACACTCTACATATGCCATACTCATATAAAGTTTTCAGTTTCTCTAACGGCATCTTCAGATGAAAAATCATAAAAAAATATAACACCAGTTTTAGTTCAACATCTCGAATTTTTTTCTGAAAAATAACAATGTTATTTAGTCTTGGAGTCTGAACAGTGGACAATCGAAAGCGTCAAGACCAATGATAAAAACGATGAATATTTCCGATATTCACTTGAGACTATCATTGATTGGGTTTTACAAAAACAAGATAAGCTAAGACATTTAAAAAAAATGAAACAAAATATTGCTTGTGTTCTGTTATGAAATGGACTAGTCTATTCACGGTGTTTTGCAAGCCATGGGTTTTGTTAGTTTTACTCATATTGTTTCTGGAGATGTATATATGTAAATAAAGGTTTGTAACACAAATAATCATCTACGTATCTTGTTAGCAAAAATAATTTAGTAATAAGTTACGTAATGGTAATATCATGACCATGACCATTGTATTGAATAATAAATTTATAAATTAAGATTTGCTGCATATATATTATATATATATATATATATATATATATATATATATATTCCATGGATACCAAGAAATTGATTCTTGATATTTTTTTTGGATACCAAGAAATTGATTCTTGATACATGTTTGAATATATATATATATATATATATATATATATATATATATATATATATATTCAAAGTCAACATATGTTTGAATACATATATATATATATATATATATATATTCAAACATACATATATATATATATATATATATATATATATATATATATATATATTCAAACAGGTCTATTTAATAATTTATTTTATTTAACAAAACCTGTTTGATATTCAAACAGGTTTTGTTAAATAATTTAGACATACTATATATATATATATATATATATATATATATATATATTCAATGGTTTTTTTATGTGATTTAGACATACTATCTCGAGTTTATTTTTGTTTTAATCCTTTCGAGTTCAAGAATCAATTTCTTGGTTGCTGTAGAAAATTTCTTAATCAATTTCATACGGCTGCCAAGAAATTGATTCGTGGACTCGAACGGATTAAAACAAAAATAAACAGACATCGTATTTCTAAGCTGAAAATATCTTGCCTGAATACACACACACGCATATATATATATATATATATATATATATATATATATATATATATATATATATATATATATATATATATATATGAGAGTGCGCTGAAAATTTCATAGACTGATTATGTATGAGTGATTCTGCTAGAACTGTGATATCTTGCTTGCATTAATTTCAACTCTTCATATTAATAACTGCATTTTTTCTTTCCAGGTAAACTGACATCTGACTGTTCAAAAAAACCTTAAAAAGTAACTGGTAGCGACTTCTCTTGAAAATGGACTCAACTTAGTATCGTAGTGTTATCAATTACCTGCATAAAATGTGTTTAGCCCCCGCCCGCAGGACAAACATGCTGACATGGTTGCTAGATTAGGAGATGTTCATTGTACAAAATATTCTCAACTCTTTCATGTGTTCTGGGACTACACAATACACACTAACAGAACAATCAAGGTCAACCGCCCAGATATTGTTATTAAAGACCAAAAACAAAAACGGTGCCTCCTTATTGATATGACACTCCCTGATGACTGCAATGTATCTTTGAAGATATTCAAAAAGCTGTCAAAATACAAGGACCTTGAAATAGAAATCTCAAAAATGTGGCATATGGGAACACCAACAATCCCTGTTGTAGTTGGATCCATAGGACTGGTTGGAAAAGATTGCAGTAGACTAATTGAAGGGATTCCTGGAAGTCCATGCCTCAAGGAGATACAAAAAATTGTTCTGACAAGTACAACCCACACTTTACGAAGGGCTTTATCTATGTAATTTTTTTTTTGTCAGTGGAAAGTGTCATGATGCCATTTCTAATCTTAGGTCCCTGGGCGGGACCCGGAAAGAAATGTGTAAACGCCAGAAATCAAAGAAAATAATAATAATAATAATAATCAATAATTTAATGGCGATCTGTGAAAATGTATAGCGGCTCGGTTTGAAGAATTGGTAGCAATCTGTCTGTTAATAGCAAAATAGTAAAACAGCGTTGGTTCGATAACTTTGGTTGGAAACCAGTGTAGGAGAAAGAAAACTCTGAATTCAAAACACCTGCTGTCTTGTAGATCTTGCCTCTTTAACTTCTGAGAGGAGGGACGGAGTAACCTCAACATCCCTGGTGGAAAAGGAGCTAGCAAGCCATTCTACTTTGAATGTCACTATGAACCACAATTGTGAGATGGAGGGGGAGTGGTGACAACACTGGCGTAAAATGTGCTAACTGAATAAATGATGATGAATGGCCATCGAAAATTAAATTAAAGTTTGGTATCAGAGTTAGAACTGTCAAAAACTCCCCCCCCAAAAAAAAAACAAGAGATTGATTTCCTTGCAAAAAAAATTGATTTAAATTGAATTTACGTCAATTTTTCTGTCATGCGACTAAAGCTAATATCTTTAGCCTAACCACTGCTAATTCCTTCCAAAATATTTCCGATTAAATTATTTAATGAGTTAACCATAGAAAAGTCCTTTTTATTTTCATTTTCCTTAATAAAATTAATTAATTCTCAGCATCCTTCGGTAGAGCAACATTTCTGTTGCCTTGATTCTTCTTCTCATTTGTGAGGAAATTTTCCAGCATTCATTGCATTATAGGAAGACTGATATTACATTGCAGTTCATCACTCTTTTCTTTGTTTCTAATGAAATTTTGCTGTTTCTTAATTTCTGAAAGGCTCTTTTGTTATTACGATACGCGGTCGGATTGCGGTGTCACATTTGTCATCCTCAGTCAAAAGACTTCTCAGGTATTTGAACTTTTGTACTTGTATGATGCTGACATCTACAATTTGTTCTGATTATTAATAAAACAAAATAATTCATTTTTGTATGAATCCGAGTTCCATCAATTTCAAAAAGTTTCAAAAACTTGTCTTCGGATAGTGATTTGAAGTAATTTATGCACAGATGAAATTTTTATTTTGAGCAAAAATAAAAAAAAATATTTGTATAGCACAGTATTTTCTGGAAAAACTCTATTTATGATCTAAGATTAACGTATAAGATAAAACTTCTGGATTTATTCAGTTTTACTGAGATCATATATAGTATAGGCGTTGACGTTTTAAAAATCTTTTCACCCCAAGCAAGGCAACACGCAGGGGGTGACTGAATATGAAAGAATATAAGAAAAACATTAATGAGCGAAAACAATAAAAGAACAGAAATTAACAAGACAGAAAATAACGATTTTTAATCGAATCCCCCCCCTGTTAAAGGTAGTAAAGCCACTATGACACAAGGGTTTACTGGGTGTGAAAGAATTAGAAATCGGAAGCATTAATGAGAAGATAGAAAAATAGAAGAGTAATTAGGAAGACAGTAGATAACGATTGACCAGAGTTTCACGATAAACTACATCAAGTCGCAAGGCTTCTGAGTGGGAGTTTTTGATTCGCGTGGAATCACCTCTTTGAATATATATATATAGATATACTAGCAGTAGAGCCCGGCGTTGCCCGGGGATGTAACAGTAAGAGATAGATCAAGTATTGACCATCATAAAGACTGAAAAATAAAATTGACAAAGATTATTGTTTAAGGTTGACGGACACGCATGTCTTAATTAGTTTTTATTTTTATTTTTTTTTTTTTTTACGAATTGGTCAAACCCAAACTCAAACAAAAACATTGTTTTCAATCGTTATGAGTCTATCGATTGAATAGAATTTTATTATAAACAATTCTCTTGTAAATGGAATTTTTAAAGCATTCTGAATGTAAAAATAATGAAAAAAGTGTGCAAGACAATAAGAAACACTACCTGCCAAAAAAAGTGAAGTTATGTTGAAATCGGTTGAAAAATGTATGAAATCCGATCCAATATATAAACGTACAGACACACACGCACACACAATCTGCGTTTTTTATAATAAGTAATATATATATATATATATATATATATATATATATATATATATATATGTGTGTGTGTGTGTGTGTGTTTATATACATATATGTATATATATGTATATGTATATATATATATATATATATATATATATATATATATATGCAATTTTATATATATATTATTTATATATCATATATACGCGTTACTTATTGGAAAGTGCTCAATATCAGTGGTAGAGCTAATATATTTAGTTGAATTGATGTGAGTTTAGATCTTGGGTTTCACGCTATTTGCGATCTTCAGACTGACGGTCGCAAATAGCGTGAAACCCAGGTCACAAATTCGCATCAATCCAACTATATATATATATATATATATATATATATATATATATATATATATATATATATATATATATATTCCTAAGTCTGCCTATATCTATGTATAAGTCTGTTCATATCTATCTATCTATCTATCTATCTATCTATCTATCTATCTATCTTCCTAAGCCTGTTCCTTGGTTCACTATTGCTTAACTTCGGTGACCGTATGGGAACCAGTATATCACTTCTATATAGCCATGAACCTATTATACATTAGTGAATATATTTCATCAACGGACATTCATAGTATCATATTGATTAATATGTGAGAATTCGATTTTTGTCAAATGCTCAAAAAATACAATATCTTTTATTTTTTCAGATGATGTCTAAATGGCTCCCACGGAACAAAGACGTATTAGTTCCTCAGCTGCTATATCAGCTTCGTATTTTTTCCGAATATCGCGTTTTCACGTGTCAAGTTGATTTTTTAATGAATTGTGTTGACGAGTTTTATTTTTTAAAAATCGAAATCACCCCAATCAAGGCAGTAAAGCCACTATGACACAGGGTGTTACTGGGTGTGAAAGAATTAGAAAAGAGAAGTATTACTGAGAAGCGAGAAAAATAGAAGAGTAATCAGGAAGACAGTAGATGACGATTGACATTGTATTTAAATTTTTGAAGTTCAAACTTGACAGGCAAACATGGATCTGTTAGCATAGAACTTACGGTTACATCTAGCCAATTAAACTGTAAATTCATGAGACCTTGTGACCAATATAGCACTGGACTAAAATGCATACAGTCTAGGTACCATAGTGAAGGGCTCGTCCGGACAATGACCATGAAAGTACTTATAAAAAAGGCACAGGGAAGTAACTTTACGGCGGTGGGAAAGTGACTGAAGCCGAGATGACAGATCAGGACCAATAATATTGCCGGTTCATCATCGGATTTTATCAAGAATCTCTGAATATATAGCAGGAGTACCTGACCGTATGTAGCAGAAATATTCTAATCATGGGCGAATAGTAGACTTATAGATATGTAAGATAGATTCAGAAGAGAAAATTGTCTAGCACGACACAGTGAACCAAATTTCTTAGCAGCTGACCTAGCAATTGATTCAATACAGTCTTTCCATTTCATGTCAGCCAAGAAGCTTAGAGGGCGAAACGAGTCAATCTCCTTGAGGTTAGCATCAGCCATGCTGATAGAAGATAGAATGGGGTCTCTCACATGATTATTAGAAGACAGTTCTGCTTTGGAGGCATTAAAATTAACAAGCCACCATTTACCCCAGTTAACAACAGATTGTAGGCCATTTTTGAGATTAGCCGTCAATTTGACTTTATCGATCTGATCAGACTTGCTATCCAGGCATGAGAAAAATGGTTGTGTCATCAGCACAGACACCAAGTTGATAGCTGATGTCACCAGTAAGGTCATTATTGGAAATTAAAAACAACGTAGGATTAAAAATACTGGGTGATACTTGCATTAGTACGAAAAGATCTAGATGAGTGGCCGTTTCAAATTGTGATTTGATAAGAAAGACTAAATCAATTCAAAACTTCGTCCCGAGATACCATAACTTTTCAGCATGTGAAAAAGACCTGCATGCTAAACTCTGTGGAACGCTTTCGAGATGACCAAAATAACTAATCGAGCTTCTCCATTCTTATCTAAAGCTTAATAGACTTGTTCCGCAATAATCGATAATACATCAGCAGTAATAAAATAGTGAGCTAAATTTTAGTACTTTTTTTAGCAAAATAAAAACAACAGCAGCAGTAGCGTATTTATTTATTTATTTATACATTTGGTGTTACACTATACTGGAAAGGGATGTAATAAATCGATGAGTTATTACTTTCTTTAATCATGTTAATAATCTATACAAATAAAGTATCTATCTTTATTTAGGCAAAATTAGTTCCCAAATAAAATGAAACGCTTAATTAACCCGTTATTACTACCACGTTTCTTAGAATGCAGTCTCATTTGTTCAAGCATTTCTTGCGAGGCACTCACATACCAATGTATACAAAGGGATCTTCTTCAATTTGATCTTGCGATCGGCGTTGTCGTCGTTCTGATCCTAATAATATTTCTATTTGGAGATTTTTCTATTTCAAGTCACTTTTACATTGAACGCAAAATTGTTTAACATGAAAATATATTGAGCTAAAACCAATTTATAAAATACCAATAGTAATCAATGAATCATAGATACAATTGGCTGTCTAAAAAACATAAATGGAACGGATTAATTAAACGGTTCATTGGCCTCTATTTTCGTTCTAAACTCAGCATCTCTGGTTTATTGAAATTCAAAACTTTTGTTTCATTGCATCTCAAATTTCCACACAATGAGAAAAAGGTGGGGAGAAAAGAGAAAAGGTGGCAGTGAAGGGATAAAGGATGAAGACAAGAATGGGTTTTTATTGCTCTTTTTCATGTTTGTTTGTTTTTTCATTTTTTGATGCATTATGTAGACAGTTAGCTAGATTCTATGGTATTCGATTAAATGTATCCTTTTTATGCTAAGCATTTGGTTCTCAAACATTTTTTTCTCTGGGTCGCATTTTCGGAATGAAAATTTACTCGCGCCTCATCAAATTTTATGTGTTGTAGTATAACTACGGACGATAATGGTTATGTCCCCATTCATATAAATGCAGTCGTAAATACTGTATGTTGGTCTGCAGTTGGAGGTTTGTCACCAGCTGTGCTGGTCAAACTCTCTGCCCGGAGGCAGAGAGCATCTCCAGATGAGGTTAAATCGAAGGACAGAGTCTCCTCTCGGGAAACAGCTACCCGATTTAGTTTTATACGGGGTCTACAGGGAATTTTTGGCCGAGCTTACGGGCTGGGATAGCCCACATAAAATTCGTCCTTGTGCCACATCTGACCGCGTGGGGCGGTTGGTAGATATCCTGCAATTGGAGATTCGTCTCTAACTGAGCTGGTCAACTCTCTACATCCGGACAGAGAGGATCCCCAGACGAGGCTATGTCGAAGAGCAGAGTCTCGTCTCCTGCAGTTGGAGATTCATTGTGGAATTCACTTGACTCACTTCTAGCAGTTGACTAGTCCTTCTACGTGTCGCTGGTGAATCTTATATTCGTTTTTCGTATTATCGTTCATTAACAACCTTCGTATGATTATTCTATTAGGCAACCTTTCCTAGGTTAAAACAAAGTGATAAAAAGAACATAAAAAAAACAGAGGAAGAGTTAAAGGGAGAAAACCTCGAATTTGAAATTGAACATTATTATTGATAACTCTCTCCTCCAATTTGCCAACCCTAGTTACTATATTCTTAATACTTGATATAATGCAAAAATATCACAGTAATAAAATCGGTCAATCATTATTTATAACTATGCATACTGGGACTCCTGCATGCTATTATAAGTAATCTGTAACAATATTTTAAATATTGAAATCATATTTATCTTTGGCATATGAATTTTTAAAAAACTGTTTTTAAATCTTTGATTGTTTTTCAATCATTCTGCATCACCTACTATCCTCTCCCGCCACACGTCGTACCATTTAGGAACCACTGTGTTAAGTTCTGAATCTAAACATCATAAATCGCTTCTGTTTGGGTCGCCGAGTTTACAGCGATGGTTAACAAGCTAGTCTGGCAGACAGCCGGTTAAATGCGTTCAATTCGCGCAGCTGGGATTTGTACTGCCAGAGTCGAAGAGTATACAGATTTTTCCACTTAATAATTATCCATATAATATATGCGACCTGTGTTACAAAAAATTCAGTTTGTTTCATTTGATTGCATTTTGTAACATTTTTGTATTTATACAAAACTTAAACCGTTTCATTGCTATATTCACTTTTTTTTGCACTCCGACTGATGCACTCCTTACAGTCCGACTCATGTCCTCATCCTAGTTGCTATTATCACACCCTCACCTGTTCGTTGCACTCTCTGGTTCTCTTCAGATGCCTGCCGACCCAGGTAACCTCGGCGGATTTTGAGCTGAACGTTTTATTTAATGTACGGAGGAAGATTGTTCTCGTTCCTCTGTCCGTGTATAGTTTTTTTTTAGTACTACCCAGTTATTGCCAATCCTTTTTTCCAGAGAGTAGTAATGCACCACTCCTCACAGGGATTGGGTCGGAGTTTACAGAGCCAAATTCAGTGGAAACAGAAAATAGGACTTACAATAATTGAAGAATGAACACGAAAAAAATATTTCGAAGAATCTGAAAGATTTCCTAAAGTGAAGTTTCAAAAAATACCCAGCTTAAGTAATGCAAGATGGAATTCGAGGACAATACTAGCTCTTTTAGCATTTATTTTTCTATCAGAGAAAAGAGACACGCTACTCGAAATTTGTAGATGCATCTCTTATAGATGGGCTGACCATTGGTTTACTGACGAAATTTAAGATGCAGGCGATTATCAGGAGCTATGTAGCAGCTTGCAGGCTCACAAAAAGCTATGAAACTCTCTGAAAAAGTTTTGGTATACATAAGTATCTGAAGTGGAAAATCCCAGATTAAATCAGTGTGCAAAACGAGCAATCAAGTACCTTCAAGATCTATATGATGTCTGCAATAACAAAGAGCAAGTTCACCTTACATTTACTTTGTGTAACAAAGCAATATTTGTTTATTGGGCAATAATTATGCTACATATTCCAAATTCTTTTTCTTTATATAGTTATTCTTACTTGCGGATGTAAGTTTCTAATTGCAGATGCAAGTTTGTAACTTTTGTTTATTTGTGAGTTTATATGTTATGCTATAGCTATAAAGTGTTAAATGCGTTAAAATTCAATAATTAGGTAATGGAAATGAATATATATATATATATATATATATATATATGTGTGTGTGTGTGTGTGTGTGTGTGTGTGTGTGTATGTATTATAACCAGCCGAAATAAAACAGTGATTTGCATCACATTAAAAGGATCATATACAAAGTGAAAATATTTGGAACACATGTTGTATTTATTTTACGGGTCGACAGATACCTGAAGAAATCCTGAGGGCACAACAGCCGAAACGTTGTGGTAGTAACAAAGATGAGGACATTAGTCGGAAATGAAATAATTCAAATAAGGATAGCAGAATTCAGGTAAAAATTTTCATTTCTCTTAATATTTTGCTGGGATTTACATTTCAAAAGCATAACGAAAATGACGACGAAAATCGTAGTA